ACCCCTGTATGGGGAAAGCTAATTTCTCTTTAACTTGCTTCGCTTTTTAATGCTAATTTAACAGAAATATACCTAGTTTATTTTTTCTTTTAGACAATGGGAGAGAAATTCAGCGAGGAGGAAGTGGACGAAATAATAAAAGAATTCGATAAAGATGGGGATGAACAGGTAGGGAGGGGTGTTACTTTGATTTTTCAAAAATTTAAATCTTCTTTTTTTAGATTGATTATGAAGAATTTGTAAATGCAGTTGCTCCTATAGTTAATGATGGTGCAAAAGAAGATGCTCCCTTTTTTGAAAAGGAACAGCCAACAACGGGTTTTGGACAATCAATAACAACTTCTGGGCCTCCTTTAACTTCCGGAAAAGTCAACAAACATTTTTAAAATATAAATTAATAATTTCGTTTAAATTTTTTTGAGTGATCTCATTTGAAAAAATCTTGTAATAAACATATATTTAATATATCTGATCTAATCTCTTACTTATCACACATTTTCGAATATTCTAGATCCTAGTTATGACAACTTGATGATCTCTATCTTAAAGGTGTGAGATAACATTGAGGGAAGGAAAATTCTGTGTGAGACTTTGTGTTGACGTTGATTGGGTCTCTATGCTTCTAATCGAGCTATAGCTAGAAGGCTAACAATGAGAAATTAAAAAATCTTTTTCCGAGTTGTACTTCGTCTTTCGTGGGAAAAAAGAAAGACTTTTCTACCCTTGAATTGACTTAAAAAAATTTTTTTTAATTACACAAAAATTCAAATTATGTATTTGTTAGATTAATTTAATCCCAAAATATTTTTAAAAAATATAAAATGTATATAAAAAAGTTGAACTTATATGGGTTAGGTACACCATTTTTTAGCCACACCTTTTCCCTTCATTTTTTCTCTTAATACGTTCAGTTATTGAATGCCAAAAAGACCCCGGATCCGCGTTTTAGAACTGGTATTATGCATGTACCTCTGGATAAATAGGGCCTTCTATTTCCAAAAATTTTTTTGTTGGAATAAGCTAACAACACCTTATCGCAATTTCGAGTAGCGGTACAACCAAAACCAAAGTTGGCACACACCCACCAAATATGAATTAGCTAGATTGCTTGATGGGTAAGAAGGAAAACGAAAAAAGGCGTAGCTAAAAACAGAGTACCTAAACCATATATACGTTCAAAAAAAAGTAAACCATTATTGTTAATTTTTGTCAATAAATTTATATTTATTTAACTTCCTCTGTCAAACCAATCATTTAGTGTATGGGTCAAGACGATTAGCGAAGTCGTTCAAAACTTTAGCCATATTACGCGCACCTTCAACCAAAACAGTCAAAGTTTCCTTATGTCCATCACAAGCACCTATAAAGGAATTTAGATATTAAAAGAAATTTAGAAGGTTCAATAAACGGGATTTTAGGACAGTGAGGGAATTTTGGAACCGAAAGAACAGACGAACAAAAATGAGAGTCCCAGTCTAGTTTCTAGTCTAGACGACTCTCCTATAGACGGATTTTCTTTAAGATCCTCTACGTTATAGTTTTCTCCTCAAAATCGTAGTATAACTATTATTAATCAGCAAAGTTTTGAGACTTTGAAGTGTAAAACAAAAGACACTTTTACAACCAGAAGTACCCTTATTTAAGCAAAGCGGGGTCACTTTAGTACGTGGGTGCAGGCTTTAAATTACAAATGTTATATCATTTGAAAGAGCTAGTCGAGCTGAGTCGAATGCCACCAAAATTAGATCTAGGAAAAATTTTTGAACCGAGATACAGGCGATTGAAAATCGAAAAATCATAGGGGGGACCAAGCACTTTTTTGGGGTGAAAAATTCGAATATGCAAATTATACCTCATTCGAAAGAGCTCGTCGAGCTGAGTCGAATGACACCAAAATCGACGAAATCCGACTTCATTTGGCCGAGTTACAGACCCCTGAAATTTGAAAATTTTCGGGGTCAAAAAATTCGATTATGCAAATAATAGCTCATTCGAAAGGGCTCGACGAGCTGAGTTGAATGACACCAAAATCACCGTGATTGAACAAGATTAGACAAAGTTACGACAAGAAAAACAAAGAACCTAAACCTATGGAGCGTAGGCGAGGCGCTTGTGCAAAACCCCGCGCTTCGCGCGGGGTTTTGCGGCACGCGCCTCGCGGGGAGTCTACGGGCGCTGGGTCTGGGCTCGTAACATAAACCTATTCCTATCTCCCTTGCTTTGGACGTATTTGGGGCCTCCGTAGCAGCAAAATTCTTCACAGATGCCATAGGTAAGGAGCTAAAAGAAAAGATCATAACTTTGTCCAATCAAGTCGGATTTCGTCGATTTTGGTGTCATTCGACTAAGCTCGACGTGCTCTTTCGAATGAGGTATAATTTGCATATTCGAATTTTTCACCCCAAAAAAGTGCTTGGTCCCCCCTATGATTTTTCGATTTTCAATCGCCTGTATCTCGGTTCAAAAATTTTTCCTAGAGCTAATTTTGGTGGCATTCGACTCAGCTCGACTAGCTCTTTCAAATGATATAACATTTGTAATTTAAAGCCTGCACCCACGTACTAAAGTACAGCCAGCAAAGCAACTCACCCGCAGTCAAAGTTTGATGAGATGTAGACGGTAACTAAAAAATTTTTAAATAAAAATACTATAATAAATTTAAAAAATAATTTAAACCTGATGATTGTTAACCTCTTCCTCCTCAACAAAAGTTGGTTGAACCTTAAAAATAAACATGAATTACTTTGAAATTTTGTCAAAATCACGTACAAACTTAAAAAATATTTGTAGAACTTATTGTTAGGGGAGGCGCAAAATATTAAAAAACAAGGGTGACCCAACTACTTATTGTTAGCATATTTGTCCAACGGTTCAAAAAATCGTTCCGGGCCAAATTTTCCGGAAACTAATCACCGAGCGCATAACAATCAGGCCCGTAACCAGGGAAAAAATTCTTCCCAAAAAAAACTAAAAAAAATACTTGAGCTTGTTGCAAAGCATATCCCGAAGCACCAAAACTATAACCCGCCATACGTCGACCATTAGAACCCCCACGCTGATGAAAAGAACTGGAGAATTCTGTATTTGGAAGTGGTGGATTGTCAGAAGATTCATAAGTCATTTGTTCCAGAGGCGCTCCATACTGTGGACGTTGGAAATTCATTGCTCCAGCACGAGCACGAGCGGCAACACGAGCAACACCTCCTCTCCCTTGCGAAGCACTAAAGAAAAAATTTAAAAAGAAATAATTCTTAAGATATTACTCAAATTGAAAGTCAGTCGGCTGGTCAGCTCCAACACGTTGAGTATACATAAAGTCAGAAAAAGGAAAACCACGTGTACGATGTTCAAGAGGAGGTCGCATTTTGTCAATTAGAAAGTTAGTAAATAGTAAATAAAAATAAAAAAAGTCTAAAAATAGAAATTAGTGAATGAGGAACAAGAAGATAAGGTAAGAAAGGGAATAAATGACAGATTTTGGTGAATTGTCCAATTCAGGAACTAAATTAACTTAATAAATGTAGGACAAATAAATCAATGACCGATCCATAAACATAAATCAAATAGAGAGATATTGAAAAGAAAAATTTATTAACAAAATTAAACTAAAAAAGAACCAACATTTACAAAAACTGAATGAAAATTTAAAGAATTTATTTTGCCGGCAAAATAATTTTTGACAAAATGACATTTGGTAATTTGAAAGAAAATGGCTAAAATTTATCAAAATATATATTAATGGATTGTCAAACAAAATTTTTTTAGGTCATCTTAATTTTTTGCCTCTTTTAAGAATTTTACAAGGAGAGTTTGCGAGGTGTCCGAGCTAAAAACGGTCGAGACCGGTCTCATTCGATAGAGAATGTGCCCTTTCTAGCAAGGATTTTTTGCCGTTTTTGCCCGTTTTTTGATCTGGCCAAGATATGGCCCGCCAAAGTCCCAAAATTTGGCATAATTTTCCCCCCTCAAATATAAACATTAAATAATGGGTTAATTTTGTTGGCGTTGTGGTGTAGTGGTGAGTGTGCTTGACTTATCCATTTTCTCTAAAAAGTTCGATTCTTTTTTGGGTTTTATTATTTTATCAAACTGTTTTAAACATTATTTATTCCTTTTTTAACAAAAAAATATTTTTTTCGAAAATAAAATTTTTTTTGAAAAAAACAGAAATTTTTTAAAAATTTTTTTTTAATTTTTAAAAGTTAAAAAATTTTTATTTTCTTTTAATTTTTTTTATTTGCTATAAACACCTATAACAATTCCTGGATAATGGAAAACAATAACGGATGAGGGGGGAAAATTATGCCAAATTTTGGGACTTTGGCGGGCCATATCTTGGCCAGATCAAAAAACGGGCAAAAACGGCAAAAAATCCTTGCTAGAAAGGGCACATTCTCTATCGAATGAGACCGGTCTCGACCGTTTTTAGCTCGGACACCTCGCAAACTCTCCTTGTTAATTTAAAAATTTAAAATATTCTGAAGTCAATTCAATTTTTGACAAATGTCAGAAGCGTAAGTTCTTTACCTTTTTCTTCATAAAAAATTATATTTTAGAAAACTGAAAAATGAGGATTTTCGCAAATTGTTAGCCTCTTCATCCTCAACTAGAGTAGTCGATAACAATTCCACAACAAAAACAACAACAACAGCTTCCCATGCTTTTACACATAGAAAAATTGGAAATTCTGTTCAAACCAAGGCAAAACCCAAAAAATATATTCCGAGGCCTGATCATGTTCCAAAACCCGACGATGATATTTTTGATGAATCTGAGGCTCGTCTTGTTGAAATACTCAAAAATTATCGAGATCGAGCATCTGAAAGAAGAAAAGGAATGTTTTCGGATGAAACAGAAATTAGCAAGCTTATTCGAGCTAGTAATCTCTTGGCCAGATCAAAAAACGGGCAAAAACGGCAAAAAATCCAAAAACGGCAAAAAAAAAAAAAAGGTTTAATTACCCAAGTTTAAGATTTCAGATAAAAAATCAATACGCCGAAATGGCACCCGCAAAATCTGAATTACAACAAGTAATGGACAAATTGGCTGCCTTAGAATCAAAAATCGATAATAACAACATAAAATTTTCCTCTTTCTCTAATGAAATTCTTCAAATCAAAAATGCTTTAACAACAATTGAATCAAAAATTCAAACAGTTGAAACAACAATTGAAACAAATTTTAAAAACAATGAATCATCAGCAAGCGAACAAGAACGCAATCGTTCTATTGTTATTATTGGACTACAAGAATCTAAATCAACAACGCCATCAATTCGTGTTGCTGAAGACAAGTCTGCAATCGAAGATGTACTCAACTTGTTGGGGGTTGAGAGCCCATTCGTTTCGTACAGAATGGGTAAGCATGACCCAACTGCTAAAGGTTGTCGTTTAATAAAAATTGTTTTTGGCGCTTCAAAGTTTCAGCGAATTTCACTTGCTGAATGGAAACGACACAGAGTGGAAATGAAAAAAGAATCAAAATGGTCTCGTTTGTTGATCAGGCCAAGTCTTACTAGAGAACAATTGGAAGCTGAAAGAATTGAACGTGCTAAGAAACGAGATGAATACAATAAAAGAACGAGTGCAAATGTGACTGAAAGAACAAAAAACCATTAAGAGGTCGTCCAAGATTCAAGGTTTTAAAAAACTCTTTAAATATTTCCCCTTTTTATAAATGTCTATATTTTAATAGTAGGAGCTTGGTTAACAAATTAGATGCTTTAAGATTACTTTTACTTTCCAAGTCCTTTAAAATAATTTGTATTTCCGAATCGTGGTTGAACAAAAAGATCGATAATTCCCAAATTTTACATACTTCACCTTATTCCATTGTCAGATGCGATAGAAGTTCTAGGGGCGGTGGTGCTTGTATTTTAGTAGATAATATAATTCCCTTCTCTCCCGTTAAAATTCCTAAAAATAAAAATTCCGACATTGTTGCCATAGACATTTACTCCCCCAAATTTGACAAATTTCGAATAATAACCGTATACCGTCCTACCACAAACGAAAATTTTAAAGACTTCCATGAACTTCTTGATACATTAAGTTATTTAATATCTATTAATCATAACTACATAATCGTAGGTGACTTTAATTTCCCTAATCTAATCTGGAAGACCAACATACCACTCGCTCTCAACCACAAATCACCTTCTGAAAAATTATTTATCGAATTTATAGAAAGCTATAATCTATTTCAAGAAATCTCTTCCCCAACCAGACAAGATAACTATCTCGATTTACTTTTTTCCTCTTCCGCCTTTCGCGTTGTAAAAAATATTACCATTAATGCCCCCTTTAAAAATTCTGACCATAACACCATTGAATTTAACTTAAATTTTAAATATTTTCCCAAAAAACCAGAATTTATACTTGACTTTCATAATGCCGATTACAATCAAATTAACAATATCCTAATTGGTTTAAACTGGAATACCTTGTTTTTAAATTGCACTGATGTAGACTCCCAATATACCCTATTTTTAGAAATCATTCACCAAACAATCCGAAATTTCATACCGTTAAAAAAGATCAATAAAGACCTTACTAGATTCCCAAAACATATTCAAAAAATTATCTCATATAAAAATCTTTTATGGAAAAATATTAATAAACCTGCTATACGTGAAAAATATATTCTCACACAACAAAAAATTGATAAAGAAATTTCTCGTTTCTTTAAAAATAGAGAAATCTCAAAATTCAATGATTCACGATCTAGATTTCAGTATATAGGGGCTTTCCTTAAATCCAAAAAATCCAAAATTCCAATATTCAACATTAATGATAGACTTACCATTTCAGACAAAGATAAAGCCGAATGTCTTGCAATACAATTCAAGTCTGTCTTTAACTCTTCTAACTTTGATTCCTCTGATATAAACAATCCAAACAAAAACACATTATCCTTTATTGATATCAATCCAGAGGAAATCTATAGCACTATAAACAAACTCGACAATGTTAATAACATATCACCGGACGGCATTCCCAACATTTTCTTAAAAAACACCGCAGTCTCATTAACCACTCCATTAACAATTATGTTTAACATGTCAATCATGACAAGTAAAATTCCATCTATATGGAAAAAGTCAATAATCCGACCTATTCCTAAAAATAATAATCCTAACGAACCTAAAGATTTTCGACCTATCTCTCTCTTATGTTCAACCTCTAAAATTTTGGAACGAATTATTTCAAATAAATTAACTTCATTTCTTGAATCGAATAATTACCTTCCTGCTTGCCAACATGGGTTTCGTAAAAACCACTCAGTTATAACTCAACTCCTAGAAACCTATAATGACTACACATTAGCTATCGAAAATAAAAAATGTGTTGACGTTATATTCTTCGACCTGGCAAAAGCGTTTGATACTGTCCCCCACGATCGCCTTCTGAAAAAACTATATCATCTAGGTATCACTGGCGCATTACTAAATTGGATTGACGATTATTTAATAGACCGAACTCTTTCTGTTCTTGTCGAATCTGAAAATTCTAATGAATATCATATAACAAGTGGAGTTCCTCAAGGATCAATCCTCGGCCCTATTTTATTCATCTCATATATATTTGATATAATAGATTTCTGTAAGACAGATAATGTTACACCCAAATTATTTGCTGACGATTTAAAGGCCTATACCTGCTTTGATTTTCCAAATAAAAACCACTATTCTCCACTCCAAACATTTATCCAAAAATTCTCAAAATACTGCGAAATAAATGGCCTTAAAATCGCTATCAGCAAATGTAGCTCACTCCACATAGGAACTAAAAATCCCTTCCACCAATACTCTCTACAAAACATAAATATACCAATCATTCCACCCAACGAACCTATTCGTGATCTAGGCATTTATTTTACATCAAACTTAAAATGGGATTCTCACATTAAAATAATAACAAATAAAGCAACTGGAATTTATTATACTCTTATAAGATCTCTTAAAACTAATAACACTCAATTCCTAACTACTTTATTCAAAATATACGTCTTACCTATCCTCGAATTCGGATCTCCTATAATTAACCCTTATTTAAATAAAGATATAAACTCTTTAGAAAATGTTCAACATAAATTCTTAAAAATATTATACTTACGCTCTATGAAACACAATAACAGCCCAACATTACCTAATTATAAAGAACTCCTTGACCTGTTTAAACTTGAATCTCTATCGCACAGACGTTTAAAATCAAATCTTATCCTTTTCCATAATATTATCTCAGGCAAAATTAAATTAAAACATGATAATTCATTCAGCATTCTCCCTACCACTACTAGAGGTAACCCGCATAATTTATTTATACCCTTTTGTTCAAGCACCATTCGGAAAAACTCATTCTTTATAGACATCCCAAACATTTACAGAAAACTCCCAACAGAATTACAAAAATCGTCAATCGAATTGTTTCCAAAGCTCCTAAACAATATTAACTTAAACAATGTTTTATCAAAGCCACTTTCCATTCAATTGCCTCCAGACCTTATATAAAACAATTGATACATTTTTATTTATTTTATCTGAATGTCACGTTTTTATGCGTATAAATTGAATTGAATTGAATAGTAAAGATGTTGAGAATGTCGGAAGTGTTTTGGATGCATCCGCAGCAGAATCTAGGAAAATGCAAATTCAGGTAACTTAAAGTATTTTATGGAGTCGATTTTTCATAAAAATCCATGCCCTTTGCTTCTTTGATCTTTTGATGAGTGGAGATATTATATAGTGGAGATATTCTCTTCACAGAGATACTCCGTGTAGAGACAAAAATCTAATTCGATATTTGTCTTCCTATATTTGTCACCAGGCACGTAGCTGAAAAAATTTCCGGGGAGAGGCTCTTGCCCCTGTCCATGCCTTTTTTACTATACGATATTCCTTCTTAATTTATTTTTCAGAAATCAAAATATCTTGGAGGTGATATGGAACACACCCATTTGGTTAAAGGCCTTGATTATTCGCTTTTAAATAAAGTCAGAACGGAAATACATGAACAACAAGTTTCTGCAAAAGAAAAGGTTTCTTTTTTTTGATTTTTTAAAAATTACTTTTTAGGCATTAAATGACCCAGTTGTTGTTTCCAATGATCCAACACAAGCTGGGAACAAATTAGCTCGAAATGTCTGCAAAATATTATTCGAAAACAAACTTCCTCAAAGAAATGAACTTTTTGTGAGAGGTAGAATGGCTTATTTAGTTGAATTAGATGAAGAAGAATCTGATGTGCCTAGTACTTTAATGCGCTCAGTTGTTGATTCTTCTGCAGATCAGACAATTGAAAATATTAATGCGGATAATGTGCTTATAAATGTAAGGATCTTTTATAATTATTTGTAATTTCTCTTCAAAATCTTTGTGAACTTTTTAAAGTACGATATCCGCTGATTTTGTCTTTAGTTGATATTGAATTTCTTTTGGCTATAATTTGCTAATTAAAATATAAATTTCTCAATTTTAGAAATTATCTCAAGTGTTGGTCTACCTTCGAACTGATCTTAAGAAAAAGAAGAAAACTGGATTTGAACGTGACCTACCTCAACATCAAGAATCTACTAGTATTTTTGAAGGTTTAGATGATTATGTTTCTTCGAATAAAAATGATGAAAAAAGAAATGGGGATATTAGAAGGAGACAAAGAGAGGGGGAATCTTCTTCAGATCAAAGAAAAAGTTACTTTTCAAGCACGGATGGAGAAAGGTTTTTTTCTAATCTTTGTAAAATCGTGTCGGACATGGGCCAGGCTGTTTTTCCCCTATAGCTGTTTCCAAGTGTTTAGACTTTCTGCTTTTCTGTATTTCTCTTCTAACGTCACATCATTCCCCATCAATGTCTATGGATTAGGAGCTGTGTCCAAGCCCAGATTTTAAATTACCGGCCTCTACCATCTTTAAATTTTTTTAATTTTCAGAAGTCGCGGACGTGATGATCGTAACTCAGCAAGAGACAGAAGACCAGAAAGAAGAAGAGAACGCGATGAAGATGAAAGACGTGAAAAAGAAAAATTAGAGAAGGAAAAACTAGAAAAAGAAATGTTAGATAAGGAAGAGATGTTGCAAAAAAAGAGACGAAAATTGGAACAAGAAGATGCTTATGCTGAATTTTATCCGGGTATTTTTTAAAGAAATATTTTAAAAATTAAATTTTTTAATTAGGTGGTCTTGGGATGATGGACGCAGGTGGGGAGAGCGATGACGATGACTTTTCACAAATGGATCAGGTAATAGTTTATTTTTTAGGGATATCTAGGAGTATTTAAACCTTTAACACAAGCCTAGTCGTTTACGTATTATTAGGATTTTTTGCAAAAAAATTTTTTCCTCTTCCGCTTCAATACCTCTGCAACGCCTTTAGACTTTATTTCAGGGCAATTTCATTTTTACCGGGAGATTTGCTAATTTTCTTGATAATTTTTCAAGTTTTTAAATAGCTTAAACTCCGTTCTATGTGATTTAAAAAATTTATGAGTTTTTCTTGTGTTTTTAATTTCTCCTAGATTCACTAAAAATCGATGTGAAGATTTCTCAGTTTTTAATATCTTTAAATATATATTTTTTAATTTCACCAGGGAAATCGAAAATCTCAAATAAAACGTTGGGACTTTGACACTCAAGAAGATTATGAACGTTACCAAAGTGCACGAGAAGCACACCCTCGAGCTGTTTACCAATTTGGAGTAAAAACTAGCGGTGGAAGAAAAACTCGAAAAAATGTTTCGGCAGTCAATGAAAAGAAAATTGACAGAGAATTGGATAAAATTAATAAAATTTTGGAGAGAGGAACAAATCAAAGTATACGTTATTAAAAGTTATTCTTTCATTTTTTTGTGTTTATTCTCTAGTATTTTACAATTTTTGAAAGGTTTGTTTAAAAAAATTTTCTTTTCTTTTTATTACTGGGATAAAATGTCTTGAATTATTTTTTTATATTTATTTTTTAATAGTTATTCTTAACTATTATATTTTTTAAATTGTTCGATTTTTTAAAAACATTGGTGCAATTCGTGGAAAAAACAATTCAAAGGTTGAACATTTAGCCTATCTAAAAATTTCATCAAAAAATTTCTTTGAAAGTCCGAAGATTTGTATATTCTTTCAAAAATAACCCTTTACTAAAAAAAATTTTTGCGGAGCAAACTTGCGGACTTCTCTAAACAGGAAATTGGCAAATAAGAAGCTTTTTTCCCGTTTTTTACTAATTTTTTAGTAAAAATTTATTTTAGTTTAAAATTAATTTTTTTCAGTCTGATATTCTTTTAAGTATTTTAATAGCAATGAAACTGCTTTTACATAATTTACTTTCTTCAAAATTTTTAAAAGGAGTCAATACTGGATTTCCTTTAATTTTGCGTGTTACTAAAAGCGAGGTTTTCTTTAATTTTTTTAAATGAAAGAAAAAAATTTTAGAAAATAGAATTGGGCGAAAACGATGCTGAACAATTTGTAAAACAAATGATGCCGAGATTGGACTATAATGCTTTTCGTGATGCCGCACAAATTGTAGACCAGGAACAGGCTGTTGATTTGCCTAGCAATTTGCCTAATGATTGGGAAAGTAATCCAGATTTTTTGAAAAAGGTTAATTTAATTTTTCTATTAAATTGGGGTTGTTTATGAGGGAGGTCAATACTGGCTTTTTCAAATTTCATTTGTTCCGGATCGGAAAAGGATGGATTTAGGGCAAGTTGGGGAGTCCACAAGAACCTGGATTTAGGCTTGGGTCTTCGATCCGCCCTTAGTGTTTTCAAAATCAGCCCAGACCTGGACACAGACTTCAAAAATATTTTTCTAGCCTCCTCAATATACCAAACATTCCAGTTCTATCTTTAAAATATCCGAAGCGTCTGTTTCTCAGGTAAAATTTTTTCTGTTTAGATGTATTCATTGTTGGTGGGTGTAGAAATTGTGGAAGGTGAAATGGAATGTCCGGAGACTCATCGAATCTTTCCTATTAGCGAAGGCATTCCAAATATGTTAGCTCGAGCCGACGAAATTGAAGAAGAATAAAACAAGAAACAATGAAAAATTTTTGACAAAATTCATTTTTTGATTTTCCGATGTTTTTAATTGATAAAGGCAAAATGTCAAATTATGTGGGATTTAACGAATTGAGAGGTTGGTTAATAAAAAAATTATTTCTTCATTTATCGAAGGGGGAGGAGAGGGCTTTCGATGGAGTCCTGTGATGTTAGAGAAAATAGTGTGAGTAATATACGCTGAGCGAGGGGCAAAATATCGTCCGACCTAGATTTTCCTCTGGACACTAGAGTAAAAGACTGGCCACTTTTATAAATAATGAATTCAATTTCTGTCGGGGGTTATTTTAATATTTTTAGTTCCGAAGTTTATGGGCATTGGTTAAATACTTTGCTCCTGTGCCGAAAAATTTTGTTTAGAATTTGTTACCCAAAGTAAAATGGACGGTATTTTTACTCTAATGTATGTAGTAGGGTTTGTTCGGACGGTATTTTGCCCCTCTTCAATATACTTTATGTCTGCTCAACTAAAAACAATTTTTGCTCTCTTTCTCTGCTGACAGCCATTATAAAATAAAGTACAGCCCTTCAGAAGAAAATGGTATAAAATTGTTTTCTTTTTTTTTACTGTTCATCGTAAATACGCCATTATCTCCCCCTTATTTTTCTTTTCCCCATTTACATGTGCTTTGGCGTGGTGTCAACTCTCGTCATATTTTTCTCTCTAAAAAGGCCAAACAATTTTTGCGAGAAATATACAAGTAATGGAAGCTTTTTAGTTTTTAGACGAGACAACACGAATGATTTGCCCCCATCTTTTTTCTTAACTAAAATGACAGCCTATAAACCATTCATTCGCCAATGTTTTTTTTTCTTAAACTCAAAAATTGATCGTCCTTTTATAATAAAATAAATATTTTTTCTCTTTCGTAATAGCTTTGTTAATTGTTGTTAATTTACTTTTAAAATATTTTTTTGTTGTTTTTTTGGGAGAAGGGGCTGGGAGGGAGGGGGGAAGAATTGATCCAAAAACAACACTTGGATAATAAAAATAAATTTTCTTTTTTTTTGCACTTTTTAGAACACTTATTAACTCAATTTTACTTTTTATTCTTTGGCCTTTATTTTATATTTAAACTACACATTTAACACCAAAAAATTATGACAACTTCTGTTGATTTTGATTATAATGGACCGCCAGTTACTGTTTCAAATGGAATGGCTGTTGAGGTATTTATTATTATTGAAAATTTAATGGGAATTATGGGTATTTTTCTGGGGTTTTCTCTAAAAATTTTACATATTTTCAACAAAATTATTTTATAATTTAATTAAAAGTTGGCTTATCACAAATATAATTTGACTTTACCCTACAAGTCTCCATGATTTTTTGAAATTATTGATATTTAACAATTATTATAAGGCTTCCCGGAATTCCTTTGGTGGTTTAATTTTGTTGGTAAAAGTCTAAAAAAGGAACTTGACATTTTTGTTGTTTGCCAGTAGGTACTGACAAAAAACAAACTACAAAACTACTGGCAAACCAAATTGTATTTCGAATCCCGGACCCAAATTCGACCAAACGAATTCGCTTGCTCATCTTTTCGAAGGTTCAGTAATGGGTACTTATTCCCTCACCTCTACTAGAAAACAACTAAAATGTGTCCCTTTCCGGAATTTTTATTTATATTTTAGTCACACGTCTCTCTAATTCTCTTCTCATATAAATTTCAATTTTTATCAGTCCAAAAATTTCTTTCTTTTTTTTTTCAGTTGGTTGCACAATTCGGAATTCAAAATGCGTGGTTCGCCTTTTTAAAACTACGAGGAATGAAATTAAAAAATGAAGAAGCAGAAAACGCTCGCGAATCATTCACTTATTTTCGCAACAAAATTGGTCATTTACGTCGTTTGACCAAAGAATTTAATGAAAAACAAAAAGAAAAGGGTTGTGAGGAGTCGACCAAAAATTCTTTTGATGCCTTATCTTCGGCCGATTTTGATAATTTTTTTGTATCACCAGACTCGCTAGAATTGAGAAAAGATGCAACAAAATATTCGGAAGTTGAAGATAACGAATTTTTTGAAGGTTGGTGTTTTTTGGCTAGACAAATTTTTTACTGATTGAATTGGAAGGGTGACCTTTCTCCTCTTCATCTCCCCAATTTTTCGCTTGCATTTTGGGTTTTATGTTTGAGTGTGGTTACTCTACCCGAGTTCAGGACCAACGTTAAATGGATCTACATCCGTTGGTTTATTACAAAATTTTGGTTTGTTTTATGGGTCCTCCGAGTTTTAGAAATTTGTATATAGTAAACAAGAAAAGGTAACGTCAATTCAACAGAGAGTCACAGACCCAAGTATCTATTCCAAAAAATAGCTATTCTATAATAAACCCTTGGAAATACAAAGAAAAACGTTTGAGGTGACGATTACTCATTAAACTTTATAAATTTATTTTTTAGAAGGTGTTGCCTCTTCTTCATCCTCTTCAAACCAAAAAACTTCATCTCCTACCACAGTTTCACTTTTGCAAGTAATTGAAGAAAATAAAAGAAGACAGCAGAAAATAGATAATAATGACCATCAACTAGACAAACAAACGACAGAAAAAGTACAACAAAAATCACATCGTAAAGAAGATAAAATTTTAGAGGAACAAAAAGAGGAAACTTTACAAAATAAAAATTCTCTTCAAAGTAACAAGTATTCCCGTAATAATAAAAAATTAACATCAACGACAACAGATAATATAGAGACTAAACAAATGGTTGAAAAATTGTTGGCTGCGAAAGAAGAAATAGCTCGTCGACATTCAGAAACTATTGGTAAGTGAGGGGAGATTGATTGGTAATATTTTGGAAGTCGTCCCCTGTTTCCATGTTCTCCTGACCATTATGAGCTTTTTGCAGATTGATTTTAATTTTTAAACTATGTTTTTAAAGATGATGTGGTGTCTGTTGTTATGGAAAAAATTCGAAACAATCAGCCCTTTGAAGGGGAGTTGACTGCCCCAACTGGACATTTTATACCACCAAAATCACACCACAAGAGAGCAGGAATTAGTGGAGGACAAAAGATGGTTCATCAACAACGTTCTGGAATTCCTGTTATGGGGCAAATGAAAGCAGAAGAGTCAATACTGCGCCAGCAACAGAAAGGTGGGACGGTTTTGGCTTCTGTGACAAATGAAGGTGTTTTGACTACAGCAACACCTACAACGGCATTCAGGCAATTTTTCACATTTTTTTATTTTTATCAATTTTTTAAGTCATTTTTCGCCTGGACAGTCAATCGTTCTTCTCCAAAACCCTCTCTCTTCAAGTGGGCCAATTCAACTTCCCCAGTCTCAAATTTCTTTTGGAGGGCTCCCTTCAGTCTCTCCAACATCCTCAACTTACAAATCACGTCAAAATGCTTACAATAATGGACAAATGATGACAGAAACAGCAATCCATTCACAACATCAGCAACAAGTATATCCACCTTTAATAAGTTCACCATCAATCCAAACTTCTCGTTTACAACAACAACATATTTACTCTATTGGTCAGCCAGTTGTTGGTGATGTTGGGAATATTGGTGGGGGAACAGCGACAACAGCAATACCTTTAGATTTGGCTATTCAACAAAATATGACTGTTCAAGAGCTTATTCAGGTTTTTTTAAAATTTTATGGTTAATGGACCGGGAAGGGCATATTGGTGAATTTTTTTATGTTGTGGAATTTTCATTAATTATGGCTAAGAAAAATCGAATTTTAATACGCTGCTGCTTTTCAATCTATGGTCTTTTACTCAAACTTTAATTTTAACCACTATGCCATTCAACCAACTCGGTCTGTGTGAATTTACTTTTTCTTATTCCAGGCGCCTTTTATTTTTAATTTTCCTTTTCTATTGTTGACTTTAAATTTTTTTTGTGTTTTATTCAAATTAAAAAAAAATTTTAGACATTAAAAGTCCAAGGAGGAAACCGAAATACAAATACACAAATTATTCTTCAAACAAATCCAAATATTCCTTCAACTCCGACTTCCACAATTTTAACAACAAATGATCGCAATCCTATTCAAAATCAACAAGAAACCCCTGACAGTAGTAGCCAAGAGGCTAGCATTCAAGAGGTTTTTTTGAATTTTTTTAAGTTGAGAAGGAACCCATTCGAATTTTATATTTTTATTGATATGTTTGGTTAAACCTTCAAGCCACTATTGCGGTTTAAGTTCAATTTTTGGTAATATGATTTCGAAATATGACTTGAAGCTGTGCAAGTTTGTACGAGCTTCTTAATGCGCCTATTGAAATGTTTTGGAATTTATTATTTATTTTTCATTTCAACGTCATTTCCACTGACGTTGAACCCAAGTCTCTAGGCTTGGTAATGGATATGGATACAGATAAGTTCAAATTGCCTGCGGATATCCGTCTGTATCCGCCGTAAATATCCGGATATGGATACCAAAACCAAGTCTAGTCTCCTATATTATAATAAAAATATCAATAAAAATATAAAATTCGATTTATTGTAAATGATGTTCTCGTGTGAGAAAAAATCTAAAAAAAAATTTTTTTATTAGAATGCTCTAAAGTCTGGATATCCTAAAAAAGATAAAAATGACAATAATCAATTGAAGAAAGGGCGTAAAAAGAAAAAAGGAGAAAGTGAACAACAATTTGAAAATATTATTTTAAAAACTGATGTAGCTGAAAAAATTGATTTGGAAGCTAATGAAAGAGGAAAACAAAAAATTGGACAAATAAATAAAGAGGATGAGAAGATGGGGAATGTTGGTGGACAATTACAATCAGTTTTGTTTTAAATAAATTTTTAAAATTAAAATTTTATTAATTAGGAGACTAAAGTAAAGAAACAAACAAGTACTACAACAAATGTGCAAGGGAACGTTTCAACGGTTCCAAATCAAAAACAGGTTTGGAAATATTTTTAAAAATAGCTATTTGAGATTTATTGTGAATTTATATATGCCGGAAAGGGTCAAATTTAAAAAGAAAATTTTTTCTTTTAAACCTGAGTGAAGGCTGAAGTTATATTAATCCGACGAACAAACATTTAAAAGTGAAAGCAGATTTGAGATATTTTTTATTTTTCTAAAAATTTGTTTGCAACATTCGCTGATCAGAAGTGTATTTATGTTAACTTTTCGGGGATTAGGATTATTTTTTGAAAATTATACTCGTAGTCTTCCACCTGGCTTATTAGGTGTTTTTTCTGATTCAGAGTTTTTTGTGCTTTGGAAGATATTTTAGAATATTTCCATAAAATTCAAAAACTTTAAAAAAAATTTTCTTTTTCCAGCAACAACGCATTGAGGATTTGGAAGCCCAATTGAAGAAATTAAACAAACAATTGCTTACCGAAAAGAATAAAGCGGCAACACAAAAGAAACGTGCAGACAAAGCATTATCTGATTTGGAAAAAGCTTCTGATTCTATTCAATTGTTAAAAATTGATTTGGCTTGTCAAAAGACTGATAACAATACACTTATTGCTGAAAATATTGCCTTAAAGTAAGCAATTTTTAAAAATATGTAGTAAATGTTACATCTGTGGATTTGAGTGACTCTCAAAACTTTAATTTGGCTTAAATAGGATTTCCATTTACTTGTTTTTTCAATTGAAGAATTGATAAAATTTCAACCATATTTTTTTTTACTTTTTTAGAGCAGAAAATCAACAACTTCGTTCTAAAGAAAAAAGAACAAGTTCAGGCCCATCTACAGCATCAGGAATACCAAAAAATAGAAAACGAAAAGAAATTACTGAAGAACCAGAAATTGTTAAAAATGAAAAAAGCGGAGGTGGAAGAAGTCGAAAAACAACAACAACAAATAATTTAAAATCTGACAATTTGCCAGAAAAAACCCTTACACCTCCCCCACTTTCTTCAGAACTTGGACGACGGCAAAGTAAAAGAATTTGTGTGGCAAGAAATCAATTTATGAGAAATTTATTTTAATTTAAAATAAAATGACTTTTATAAAGTCCTTTTTTTGATAAGAAAAAACCGCAAAAAATTTTGGAGAAAATTTTAATAATTATTTAATAATATTTGTGTAAATATTTCACCTTAAAAATTAATTATTTTTTGCCTTTATTGTGATGGATAGAGATTGGATTTTTAATGGATAACATCTTGTTTTTAAAAGCAAAATTGTGTTTTCTAGGAAAACTTTTTTTGTGAGTTTTGACTAAACATGGATCTACAGTTGTGTTTTAGTGCTACTTTTAATAACGAAAATTTCAGTCTCTAGTTATTATGAGTTAAAAACCCTAATAAATTGTAATATATACAGCCTTCAAAAAATAAATATTTTTATTTATCTATATACAAATTTTTTTCTTTTATAATTTTGCAATTTTAATTTTAAAATATTTTTTGACTTTAAAACATGGTGGAAAGGACATTTGCGGGGACTTTCCAAGTGATAACTAAAATCCTGTTTAATTTTTATGTTGGCATGTGTTCATGGTTAATGACATGGGTTCCAAAACTCTGATATTTCAATATTTAATGGCCCCAGTTCGTCCGCAAATGTTTGTGTACCATTTTATTTAACAAAACATTTTAATACAAAAATGAGATTACTTCTATTTTAGATAGAAATTTGCCAAATACAAATGCTTATCAATCAAAGAAATATTGCTCTATCAATTTATAAAGAAATAGTTGGTGAATTAAGACGATTCGATAAGGTGTAGTTGGTGAATTAAGACGATTCGATAAATTTAATTCACCAATTAATAGTTGGTGAATTAAGACGATTCGATAAGGTGTTAATAATTGATTTAAATAATAGTTTTGGGATGGGGAGGTGGATTAAATTATTCTTTAATCAATTAAGTAAAGCAGCTGGGCTATAGCTATTTCTCTCCAACTAGTCAAAAATGTTATTCGGCGGTTGGGAGCGCACCAGCATCTTCAGTAGACCGGACTGAGGTGTTAGCCATTACCAGGCCGCCTGCTGAAAAGCCTTAGGAATTAGATAGCTATTAGGAATTATAGCTTTACAGTATTTTTATTCTCACTTTTCTCGTTATTCACGTTCAATCCCAAAATTAATTTCTTAAATTTAGAACTTCAATACAAACAATCATCTTTACAATTATGTAGTGAAACAAATGCGTTCCCAAAAAGAGCAAAAAGATTTAATTCGCTTAGGAGAATTAACAGCAACCTATTTAAAAAGCCAGAATAAACTGCGTGAATTACGTTCAATTTATTACAAAGAAGAATGTAGTACTGAAGAAGCAGCAAAATTAGTTGGATTAAAACTGCCAAAAGCTCGAAATATTTGAATGAAATGTTTTTGAATTGAATGTCTTGATTGAATAAATATATTTTTAGGAAGATACACTTCGATACAAAAATTTATCTAAACTGACTTAAAATTTCTTTAAAACTTCTCGAAAATTTTTATTATTATCCTCTCAATTTTCTTTTTCTCATTTATATTCCTAAAAATAATAAAATCTCACTTATTCTTCACACTCTTCATCTCATCATTCAATAACAACACATCTCTTTTCTTATCTTAAATATTTAATTATTTCTCGAATTTAAAAATTTTTAGAAAATTTATTAATAAAATTATTTATCTTCCTCTCATTTATATTCCTAAAACATAATAAATTTTAACTTATTCTTCACTCTTAATTCTCATCATCTTCATCATCTAATACATCACTCCCTTATTTCTATTTTTAAAAAATTTAGATTCCTAAACACTATGATATATAATTATTTTTATTCTTCTCACAACCTTAATGAAAAATAATAAAATCTTTTTTTTTATTTTTATTTCTTCATTTTTTTCATGCTTATTTCTTCATCATCCGCATCTTCATAATCCATTCTCACACTTGTCTATTCTTATTTTATTACTTTCATTATTTCTCGAATTTAAAAAATTTTATAAAATTTATTAATAGAATTATTTATCTTCGACTCACTAATATTCCTAATAAGTAATAAATCTCTTACCTATTTCTACATCTTCATACTCTTCATTTCATCCTCACATCTCATCATTTCTCGATTCTTATTTTATTACTTTAATTATTTCTCGAATTTAAAAATTTTTAGAAAATTTATTAATAAAATTATTTATCTTCCTCTCATTTATATTCCTAAAATCATAATAAATTCTAACTTATTCTTCACTCTTAATTCTCATCATTCAATAACAACACATCTCTTTTCTTATCTTAAATATTTAATTATTTCTCGAATTTAAAAAATTTTATAAAATTTATTAATAGAATTATTTATCTTCGACTCACTAATATTCATAATAAGTAATAAATCTCTTACCTATTTCTACATCTTCATACTCTTCATTTCATCCTCACATCTCATCATTTCTCGATTCTTATTTTATTACTTTAATTATTTCTCGAATTTAAAAATTTTTAGAAAATTTATTAATAAAATTATTTATCTTCCTCTCATTTATATTCCTAAAATCATAATAAATTCTAACTTATTCTTCACTCTTAATTCTCATCATCTTCATCATCTAATACATCACTCCCTTATTTCTATTTTTAAAAAATTTAGATTCCTAAACACTATGATATATAATTATTTTTATTCTTCTCACAACCTTAATGAAAAATAATAAAATCTTTTTTTTTATTTTTATTTCTTCATTTTTTTCATGCTTATTTCTTCATCATCCGCATCTTCATAATCCATTCTCACACTTGTCTATTCTTATTTTATTACTTTCATTATTTCTCGAATTTAAAAAATTTTATAAAATTTATTAATAGAATTATTTATCTTCGACTCACTAATATTCCTAATAAGTAATAAATCTCTTACCTATTTCTACATCTTCATACTCTTCATTTCATCCTCACATCTCATCATTTCTCGATTCTTATTTTATTACTTTAATTATTTCTCGAATTTAAAAATTTTTAGAAAATTTATTAATAAAATTATTTATCTTCCTCTCATTTATATTCCTAAAATCATAATAAATTCTAACTTATTCTTCACTCTTAATTCTCATCATTCAATAACAACACATCTCTTTTCTTATCTTAAATATTTAATTATTTCTCGAATTTAAAAAATTTTATAAAATTTATTAATAGAATTATTTATCTTCGACTCACTAATATTCATAATAAGTAATAAATCTCTTACCTATTTCTACATCTTCATACTCTTCATTTCATCCTCACATCTCATCATTTCTCGATTCTTATTTTATTACTTTAATTATTTCTCGAATTTAAAAATTTTTAGAAAATTTATTAATAAAATTATTTATCTTCCTCTCATTTATATTCCTAAAATCATAATAAATTCTAACTTATTCTTCACTCTTAATTCTCATCATTCAATAACAACACATCTCTTTTCTTATCTTAAATATTTAATTATTTCTCGAATTTAAAAAATTTTATAAAATTTATTAATAGAATTATTTATCTTCGACTCACTAATATTCATAATAAGTAATAAATCTCTTACCTATTTCTACATCTTCATACTCTTCATTTCATCCTCACATCTCATCATTTCTCGATTCTTATTTTATTACTTTAATTATTTCTCGAATTTAAAAATTTTTAGAAAATTTATTAATAAAATTATTTATCTTCCTCTCATTTATATTCCTAAAATCATAATAAATTCTAACTTATTCTTCACTCTTAATTCTCATCATTCAATAACAACACATCTCTTTTCTTATCTTAAATATTTAATTATTTCTCGAATTTAAAAAATTTTATAAAATTTATTAATAGAATTATTTATCTTCGACTCACTAATATTCATAATAAGTAATAAATCTCTTACCTATTTCTACATCTTCATACTCTTCATTTCATCCTCACATCTCATCATTTCTCGATTCTTATTTTATTACTTTAATTATTTCTCGAATTTAAAAATTTTTAGAAAATTTATTAATAAAATTATTTATCTTCCTCTCATTTATATTCCTAAAATCATAATAAATTCTAACTTATTCTTCACTCTTAATTCTCATCATTCAATAACAACACATCTCTTTTCTTATCTTAAATATTTAATTATTTCTCGAATTTAAAAAATTTTATAAAATTTATTAATAGAATTATTTATCTTCGACTCACTAATATTCATAATAAGTAATAAATCTCTTACCTATTTCTACATCTTCATACTCTTCATTTCATCCTCACATCTCATCATTTCTCGATTCTTATTTTATTACTTTAATTATTTCTCGAATTTAAAAATTTTTAGAAAATTTATTAATAAAATTATTTATCTTCCTCTCATTTATATTCCTAAAATCATAATAAATTCTAACTTATTCTTCACTCTTAATTCTCATCATTCAATAACAACACATCTCTTTTCTTATCTTAAATATTTAATTATTTCTCGAATTTAAAAAATTTTATAAAATTTATTAATAGAATTATTTATCTTCGACTCACTAATATTCATAATAAGTAATAAATCTCTTACCTATTTCTACATCTTCATACTCTTCATTTCATCCTCACATCTCATCATTTCTCGATTCTTATTTTATTACTTTAATTATTTCTCGAATTTAAAAATTTTTAGAAAATTTATTAATAAAATTATTTATCTTCCTCTCATTTATATTCCTAAAATCATAATAAATTCTAACTTATTCTTCACTCTTAATTCTCATCATTCAATAACAACACATCTCTTTTCTTATCTTAAATATTTAATTATTTCTCGAATTTAAAAAATTTTATAAAATTTATTAATAGAATTATTTATCTTCGACTCACTAATATTCATAATAAGTAATAAATCTCTTACCTATTTCTACATCTTCATACTCTTCATTTCATCCTCACATCTCATCATTTCTCGATTCTTATTTTATTACTTTAATTATTTCTCGAATTTAAAAATTTTTAGAAAATTTATTAATAAAATTATTTATCTTCCTCTCATTTATATTCCTAAAATCATAATAAATTCTAACTTATTCTTCACTCTTAATTCTCATCATTCAATAACAACACATCTCTTTTCTTATCTTAAATATTTAATTATTTCTCGAATTTAAAAAATTTTATAAAATTTATTAATAGAATTATTTATCTTCGACTCACTAATATTCATAATAAGTAATAAATCTCTTACCTATTTCTACATCTTCATACTCTTCATTTCATCCTCACATCTCATCATTTCTCGATTCTTATTTTATTACTTTAATTATTTCTCGAATTTAAAAATTTTTAGAAAATTTATTAATAAAATTATTTATCTTCCTCTCATTTATATTCCTAAAATCATAATAAATTCTAACTTATTCTTCACTCTTAATTCTCATCATTCAATAACAACACATCTCTTTTCTTATCTTAAATATTTAATTATTTCTCGAATTTAAAAAATTTTATAAAATTTATTAATAGAATTATTTATCTTCGACTCACTAATATTCATAATAAGTAATAAATCTCTTACCTATTTCTACATCTTCATACTCTTCATTTCATCCTCACATCTCATCATTTCTCGATTCTTATTTTATTACTTTAATTATTTCTCGAATTTAAAAATTTTTAGAAAATTTATTAATAAAATTATTTATCTTCCTCTCATTTATATTCCTAAAATCATAATAAATTCTAACTTATTCTTCACTCTTAATTCTCATCATTCAATAACAACACATCTCTTTTCTTATCTTAAATATTTAATTATTTCTCGAATTTAAAAAATTTTATAAAATTTATTAATAGAATTATTTATCTTCGACTCACTAATATTCATAATAAGTAATAAATCTCTTACCTATTTCTACATCTTCATACTCTTCATTTCATCCTCACATCTCATCATTTCTCGATTCTTATTTTATTACTTTAATTATTTCTCGAATTTAAAAATTTTTAGAAAATTTATTAATAAAATTATTTATCTTCCTCTCATTTATATTCCTAAAATCATAATAAATTCTAACTTATTCTTCACTCTTAATTCTCATCATTCAATAACAACACATCTCTTTTCTTATCTTAAATATTTAATTATTTCTCGAATTTAAAAAATTTTATAAAATTTATTAATAGAATTATTTATCTTCGACTCACTAATATTCATAATAAGTAATAAATCTCTTACCTATTTCTACATCTTCATACTCTTCATTTCATCCTCACATCTCATCATTTCTCGATTCTTATTTTATTACTTTAATTATTTCTCGAATTTAAAAATTTTTAGAAAATTTATTAATAAAATTATTTATCTTCCTCTCATTTATATTCCTAAAATCATAATAAATTCTAACTTATTCTTCACTCTTAATTCTCATCATTCAATAACAACACATCTCTTTTCTTATCTTAAATATTTAATTATTTCTCGAATTTAAAAAATTTTATAAAATTTATTAATAGAATTATTTATCTTCGACTCACTAATATTCATAATAAGTAATAAATCTCTTACCTATTTCTACATCTTCATACTCTTCATTTCATCCTCACATCTCATCATTTCTCGATTCTTATTTTATTACTTTAATTATTTCTCGAATTTAAAAATTTTTAGAAAATTTATTAATAAAATTATTTATCTTCCTCTCATTTATATTCCTAAAATCATAATAAATTCTAACTTATTCTTCACTCTTAATTCTCATCATTCAATAACAACACATCTCTTTTCTTATCTTAAATATTTAATTATTTCTCGAATTTAAAAAATTTTATAAAATTTATTAATAGAATTATTTATCTTCGACTCACTAATATTCATAATAAGTAATAAATCTCTTACCTATTTCTACATCTTCATACTCTTCATTTCATCCTCACATCTCATCATTTCTCGATTCTTATTTTATTACTTTAATTATTTCTCGAATTTAAAAATTTTTAGAAAATTTATTAATAAAATTATTTATCTTCCTCTCATTTATATTCCTAAAATCATAATAAATTCTAACTTATTCTTCACTCTTAATTCTCATCATTCAATAACAACACATCTCTTTTCTTATCTTAAATATTTAATTATTTCTCGAATTTAAAAAATTTTATAAAATTTATTAATAGAATTATTTATCTTCGACTCACTAATATTCATAATAAGTAATAAATCTCTTACCTATTTCTACATCTTCATACTCTTCATTTCATCCTCACATCTCATCATTTCTCGATTCTTATTTTATTACTTTAATTATTTCTCGAATTTAAAAATTTTTAGAAAATTTATTAATAAAATTATTTATCTTCCTCTCATTTATATTCCTAAAATCATAATAAATTCTAACTTATTCTTCACTCTTAATTCTCATCATTCAATAACAACACATCTCTTTTCTTATCTTAAATATTTAATTATTTCTCGAATTTAAAAAATTTTATAAAATTTATTAATAGAATTATTTATCTTCGACTCACTAATATTCATAATAAGTAATAAATCTCTTACCTATTTCTACATCTTCATACTCTTCATTTCATCCTCACATCTCATCATTTCTCGATTCTTATTTTATTACTTTAATTATTTCTCGAATTTAAAAATTTTTAGAAAATTTATTAATAAAATTATTTATCTTCCTCTCATTTATATTCCTAAAATCATAAT